AAAAAAAAAAAAAAGAGCCCAGATGTCCATCGACAGATGAATGGATAAAGAAGATGTAGTATATACATACAATGGAATATTACTCAACCATCAAAAAGAATGAAATCTTGCCATTTGGGATGACGTGGATGGAACTAGAGGGTATTATGCTAAGTGAAATAAGTCAATCAGAGAAAGATAATTATCATATGATCTCACTGATATGCGGAATTTAAGAAACAAGGCAGAGGATCATAGGAGAACAGAAGAAAAAAATAAAATAAGATGAAACCAGAGAGGGAGACAAACCATAAGAGACTCTTCATCTCAGGAAACAAACTGAGGGTTGCTGGAGGGGCGGGGGGTGGGAGGGATGGGGTAGCTGGGTGATGGACATTGGGGAGGGTGTGTGTTACAATGAGCACTAGGTATTATATACGACTGATGACTCACAGACCTGTACCCCTGAAACAAATAATACAGTATATGCTAATTAAAAGAAGAAGAATATGGCAGCAGACAGACCAGCACCGGGAGGCCACTGATGATCAAGGACCCCAGGCCAGCCAGCTCCCACGTCTGGGTTAATCCAGAACACCAGTCATCATGGTGACCCCACAGTCTTTTTACCACTGGAGAAAATAAGTTAGACGCTGTCTGTTCTGGGAGATGAAGCCTTGGTCATATTCATACTACATCCACTAGCAGCAGACAGCTTCCTAGGAAGCACCCAAGGGTGAGAAATCCTGTAGCTGTATTCAGAGAGGAAAAGCAAGACCTTCTTCACATCAGCCACTTACGGTGCTTTGTCTCTTCTGACTCCCCTAGCAACTAACTCCCCTCCACTCCTTCCCAGCCTCTTTTTGTGAGCAAACCAGTTTCAAATGTTTTCCAGAGCAAGAAGCTTACCTAAGCATTGCATTGGACTCTCTAACCACCTGGGCAATCTGAACCTTCTGAATCTTCTGTTGGCACAGGAGATCATGTGCTTTGGTCCACCTAGAAACAGACACCCCACAAAAGCCCAAATTCCGATCACTAAGGAGGAAAGCGTCCTTTCCCTTTTTAGGGCCAAGTCCCCTCTGGCAAGGTTAATGGAGGCCTCAGCCTTTTCCACCAAACCACTTCCTGAAGGACTCCAGCTGTCCTTAAAAGGAAGAGGTGAGAAAGCCATACCCCAGCCACAGGAACAAGAACTGGGTGAGCTAACTGCTGAAGTCCAAGCTCTTCTGAATCCCTCCCTCGGTGACCCCATGTTCTGGAGAAGTGGGGCTCTGTCCCCTATAGGACATGCTGGTTCCTATAGGAGTTATCTCCACAAAGCACTTATTCCCCCAAACCATGGGGCTTCTACCTCCTTCCAAGGATTCTCACTGGGCCCCCACTCTAGCAGTAGCCACAAGTAGCCCCTCTGTGGCTAGATAGTTGGTTCTAATAGGTGGGCCAGGGGATTTCAGTAAGGTAAGTAGGCCTGCCACCTCATTCAAGCTCAGGAAAAACATACCCCCTCCTGGACCAGTCCATTGTGGGGGCCCGGAGCGGTTCAAAACCACCATCACTTACCATTCCACCATATGAGGTAACTTCTCTTTGATGGTCCGGTGCGGGTCAATCTCAATTGGGTAATAGTGGTGAAGGAGTGCTTTGAGCTGGGACATCCAAATGAAGAGAAAAGCTGTTAGTCCGCGTCAAGTTTTCCCCAGCGAAGTCCCACAGTTTAGTGTGAGAAAATAATCACCTAGAAGATGCAACTCTGTGTTAGGGAGCGACTGACATGCAGAGCTGGTCAGCCCTTCATACGCACCCTCGGAGTGTGAGGTCTAAGAATCAATAAAGATCTTTTGCTATCAGGTCATAAGTTACTAGGATTTTGTTGTTATTCACTAGTTCAGTCAGCAGGGCTTAACCAGTAAGAAGGCATTAATGCTGTATTTCCCAAAATGGGGTACAATTTTCTCAGGGGTAGGCAAAGTAACTTTAGGGGGCACATGGATAAACACTTTTCATTTTAGTAGCTTTGGATTCATTTTAATGCATATTAAGAAAAAAAAAACTAGGGGCACCTGGGTGGCTCAGTCATTAAGCATCTGCCTTCAGCTCAGGTCATGATCCCAGGGTCCTGGGATCGAGCCCCACGCTGGGCTCCCTGCCAGGCAGGAAGCCTGCTTCTCCCTCTCCCACTCCCCCGGCTTGTGTTCCTTCTCTCACTGTGTCTCTCTCTGTCAAATAAATAAATAAAATCTTTTTAAAAAAAAGGAAAAAAAAACTAGCACATCAAATTCATGCTTTCACAAAGATTGTTTCCTTTCTAATTGCATTCAGATTTTTAAAAATATTTTATTTATTTATTTGGCACAGAGAGAGAGAGAGTACACAAGCAGGGGGAGCGGCAGGCAGAGGGAGAGGGAGAAGCAGAGTCCCCACGGAGCAAGGAGCCCGATGCGGAACTCGATCCCAGGACCCCGGGATCATGACCTGAGCCGAAGGCAGATGCTCAATTGACTGAGCAACCCAGGCACCCCGCATTCAGATCTTTAATAGCAACCCAACTTTAAGTAAAATATGTAGTAAAAATCACCCTAATAGATATGGCAAAAATCATGAAAGTGGAAGTAGAAAAATCACAGAAGTGAGTTTGGGACCCAGCATGTTAGTGGATAACCATCACAACACCAACATTGAGTAAACCACTTCACAAGCATCCGCATGTACCTCCTCCTGCTAAGATTTCCTTCCACGTCTGGGGAGACCGCTTCAGCGACCATGTGTCACACAGGGCCAGTCAGTAACAGCGCCCAATAAAAATGGGAACTGATTGGGTAAAGAATTTAACTTTAATATATGCACAGTCTCAGAATATTATGAGATCAAATGTGGAGTCCCTGACCATGGGTCCAAAAGAGAGTTAAAGGCAAAGATCACACACTGACAAAGGGAGAAAGCTCCTGAAATGTATTAAGATTCTCAATGTGTGTGTTTGGGGGGGGGCGGGGGGGTGAGAACATTTTTCTAAAAAGTATAAGAGAATTCAACAGAAGAATATACTTTCTTTTTTAAGGTTTATTTATTTATTTGAGAGAGAGAGAACGGGAGAGAGAGAGAGAGAGCACATGAGAGGGTCAGAGGGAGAAGCAGACTCCCTGCTGAGCAGGGAGCCTGATGCGGAACTCATCCCAGGACTCCAGGACTCCAGGATCATGACCTGAGCTGAAGGCAGTCACTTAACTAACTGAGCCACCTAGGCGCCCCAAGAATATACTTTTTTAAAAAGAAAAAAGATTTCATGCATAAACTTTGCTGTATTAATTTTTTTTTTTTTCCGGGAGCTCATCAACACCCAGAATCTTAGTTTGCCCTAGCTTCATTATCCTAGAGCAGGCACCCAAACCTGCAGTCTTACTCCTGGATGCAGCTTTCTGGAAGCTGATAAGACAGGTATGTGAGGAACCACTAACAGTGACTTACCAAAGGCAATTAATTAGTCCTGGAGCCAGAACTTACATTAAGCTAAAAGTGCATCTCCAGAGAGACAGGTTTTAGAGATATAAGAGCTATCTATAATTTGCTGCCCATCTTTTTTTTTTTTAAAGATTTTATTTATTTATTTGACAGTGAGATAGAGCACAGGTAGGCAGAGCGGAAGGCAGAGGGAGAGGGAGAAGCAGGCTCTCCGCTGAGCAGGGAGCCCAATGCGGGACTCGATCCCAGTACCCTGGGATCATGACCTGAGCCGAAGGCAGCCGCTCAGCCGACTGAGCCACCCAGGCACCCTAATTTGTTGCCCATCTTAGTAACAAGCAACCATGACAGAGTATTGAAAGAGCTGACCAAGATGACACACTGACGGACCGCTTAGAATGTGATTTAGTGAATTTCATAACGAAGTGAAACTAAATGATATAGTTATTCAGCAGAAAGAGCTCAGCAAACTGCAGAGAAACGTGCAACCCTCAGGGCTCTCCTCTGGCAAAGAGGACAGAACGTGGAGCAAAGTAAAATGAACTCCAAGGCTGCAGGATTTATAATATTCGTATGTATCTCATGGAAATGGGTGTTATCATATATTGACATTAATTCAGAAGTCTTTCTTGATACCTGTTACCTTGCCAAAATATTACATATTTTTTAAAAGACTTATTTATTTATTTTGGTGGGGGGAGGTGTGCAGGCGGAGGATCAGAGAGAGAGGGAAAGAATCTCAAGCAAACTCCCTGCTGAGCAAGGAGCCCCTCACCGGGCTCAATCCCAGATCCCACCACCCTGAGCTAAAACCAAGGGTCAGATGCTCACCCCACTGAGCCTCCCAGGTGCATCCCCCCAAATTATATTATTAAAGAAATAGCATAATGTAGTGAAAAGAGTTTGGGACGGAATAGGATCTATGGGAAAGCCAAGCTCTGTGTGTCTTGCCTGTATGACCCTTGAAGGAGTTGCTTATCCTCTTCAAGTGGTTCTAGCCACCACTGGGAGTTGCTGGAGGGTTAAAGAGCAAATGCTGAAGGCTCTTGTAAACTCTATAGCTATTAGTATGCATAACACCCATATTCTAACCACCAGTCGTCACATGTCCTGAACAAAAAGGAAACACTGCCCCAGTGAGACTAGGTCCACCTGAACATAAGAACAACAATTTTTAAAAATATTAATCTTCTAAGGTCTCTATCCTGGAATCTTTGGTCCTAACCAATAACTATCTGAAGTAGTCCATAATAGCCATCTCTGAACAAAGAAGGGGAGTAACCCACCTCATTCTGGCACTCCTCACTGATGATCTTGCTGTTATCCAGGATGTCTGCAAAAACACAAAACTCCGTTCATTTGCCACTTAGAAGCCACCAGCTTGTCAAGCCCACCAAGGCAAGCTAGTATGTGACTTACTGTAAGAAGAAGGGCATCGCTTTCCATTATATGCAAACCTGCTCAAGGTCATGTCAAAATCAGAAATGACCTAAAATGCAAAAGAGAGATGCTATCCATACAGGCTCCTTCCGGTGTGGCCCTGCCTCGGGGGAAGATTATGAAAGGCAAACCAGCTCAGTAGCCAGCCAGTGCAGGAGTTAGGAAAGGCCGGCGGGGCAGTCGGGGGTGGGGGTGGGGGTGGGGGGGGGCGGTGGGCACGACACGGAAGAATCCTAGTTAGTAGAACCCCAGTTAGTAGTATAGCGTGCTAAGCCTGAGGACGCCCAGTCTCTTGCGGGTCTCTGGCAGAGTGGGTACTGAAGAATCAGGACCCTCTTTGACTCTTAGCCTTGCCATCTCATTGCCTTGGGTCCCTTCCAAGGTGACCCATCTCCACATCTGCAACTTCCTGGGGAGCCCACTGACCCGGCTAGTGTGGAAACAAGGCCCGCCCCAGGGCCTGGTGCTTTCCACCTAGTAAGAGGAAGCAGCAGCTGGTCACGACTGACAAATTTGAAATGTAGGTTTTCCGGCAGGTGGGCTCTAACCCAGGGCAATCAGGCGGAGCAACCTGCTTGCCCTCAGGCCGCTGGCCATTTCTAGGGGCTCAGGGCCGGCAGCGTCCGCGGCAGCGCGGGCAGGCCCCTTGGGCGGGTCACCTCCCCAGCCGCCCCACCTCGCCCCGGCCGTACCTGCAAGCGGTCTCCCCCGCCCCTGCGGAGGGCGCCCACGATCTCCTGCACCCGCCCGGGCTGCCGCATCAGGACCGTGGCCTTCATCAGGGTGCTCACCTGTCCCGAGACCCGAGAGAAGCGCTGACCCCGGCGCCGCGCTGGGCTCAGCGGGAGCCCGGGGCCGGCTCCGCAGCCCTGCGAGGCCGGGCCGGGACGCGCGGGGCGCGCAGGGAGGGGGGGGCGCTCCGGGCCAGCCCGGGGCGCCTACTGGCCGGGGTGGCGCGGCGGGGCCCAGGCGGCCCGCTGGGGGCCTCGGAGCGCCCCGGGGGTCGGGGCCCGCCCCACGTCGGACGCTTCCTCCCGCCTCACCTCCTCCGCCATGGCGCTCGCGGCCGGGACGACGGCGCCGGGACAACGACCTCCCCGCGGCCGCACTGCGCAGGCGTCGCCCGCAGCCAGGGGGCCGGGTGGACCGCCGGCCCGGGGACCGGGCGGCAGGCGGGGCCGGGAGAAGGCGGCGCCCGCGCTGGGCAAGACCCCGGCTGCGGGCTCTGTGTTGAGGAGGGTGAGGGTCCCAAGAGTTGGGGTTACCGGCTGCCACCGTCGAGAGCAAAAGCCCTGGCCAGAGGGGTCATTTCCAGACGTAAAGTTTGCATGACAAAAAAAGCCGCAGGAAGGGAAGGGATATGGAAAACATCCAGAAGGGGCTTAACTGGGCCCACTCCTCATCACAGAAGAAAATGAGCGACTAACAAGTCCGCAGGGCAGGAAGGCCCTGGACAGCTGGGCCAGCGTGAACTCTAATCGGCTTTCCTTCCTTCTGCCTCCTCTGACTTGGTTTCCTTGAATTCAGTGTCTGGGGAGCCAAGTGCCCAGCAGTGGAAGAAGGCGGATGATGCTACACGGATACAGAACTGGGCAAATGAAGAGGGCAACAACAGCTAGAATGGATAAAAACTCTTACATGGTGTTGGTGGTCACAGTCCTGCTCCAGATTCAAGGGCTTGGAAGGTGTGGGGTGGTCTTCAGCCTGAATGGTGGGGGAGGGGAGAAGGAAGGAGGACAGGGACAGGAGAGTTCCAGAACCTGAGAGCACAATCCTGAGAGTGATCTCACTGCGGGCCCAGGATTCTGGAACTTGGGCTGCCTGAAGGGCCCTATATGAAAGATGTAGTAGGGAAAAGGAGCGACAGCAGGCTAAAGGGGCCCCCCACAACCCTCCCCGACACCCTAAGAGAGCAGCCTCTCTCCGCTGGTCCCAGGGTGCCATGGAGATGGAGAGCGCGGCGGCCTCCACGCGTTTCCACCAGCCTCACATGGAGAGGAAGATGAGTGCGATGACCTGTGAGATCTTCAATGAGCTTAGGCTAGAGGGCAAGCTCTGTGACGTGGTCGTCAAGGTCAATGGCTTTGAGTTCAATGCCCACAAGAACATCCTCTGTAGCTGCAGTTCCTACTTTAGGTATAACAGGGTTGCCAAACTAAGCCAAAGGGGGACTTGGGCTCATTCTGAGACATTTTGGTTCATTTCATGTTTCCCACCCCATCGTCGTAAGTCAGGGACACTGTCAAATCTGTGGGCTCCTCTAGCCTGGCTCCTTTGTCTTCTGAAGAGGCACAACTAGGGCCGGAGCCGCCTCTCTGCTTTTCCACTGGATTTCAACCAACTGTTGGTGGGCCAGGTGCTTTTCTCCTTTGATTCTCACCCAAACCAACCTTCGGGAAGGTTGGACACCCATACTGGATTTCCTACTTAAACCCAGATGACAGTGCCACCTCAGCCACCCCTTGTGCCCCTATCCCAGTAGAGACTATCTCAAACAGGGTGATGAATTAACAAGGATTGAGCAGATGGGAAGGAGGATGCGGGAAAGCACCAAGGAAGTGTTTATTGGAAGATAAAGGGAGTTTGGGTCACAAACACTGTGACCCAGGAAGTGGCAGAGATATTTTGTTCATGAGCTGAAAATGTTTGAGTTATCAGTTCCAACGAACATGATACACGTCTCCCACCTGTTGCTAAAAATTCTCATTCATCTAGACCTGCAACAGGGTCTACAAAAAGACCAGATAGTGAATATATTAAGCCTTGCAGGCCATACAGCCTCTGCCACAACGACTGCACGCTGCCTTTATAGTGGGAGAGCAGCTGTAGACAATACTAAATGAGACGGCATGGCTGTGTTCCAATAAATGATTCATGGATGCTGAAATGTGAATTATAATCCAGGTGTCACAAAATCTATTTTTTCCCCCACTTTTAAAAATGTGAAAAACAGGGGCATCTGGGTGGTTCAGTCAGTTAAGCGGTTAAACTATTGATCTCAGCTCAGGTCATGACCTCAGGGTCGTGAGATGGAGCCCTGCGGTTGGGCTCCACCCTAGGCATGGAGCCTACTTAAGATTCTCTTCCTCTCCCTCTGTTCCCCGTGCCCCCACTCTCTCGCTCTAAAAAAAAAAAAAAAAAAAGAAAAAAAAATTTAGCTTGTAGGTGGCACAAAAACAAGAGGTGGGCCAAATCTGGCCCAGAGGCTGTAGGCTTGCAGACCCCTGCTCTAGAGAAGAATCTGATTTCCAAGGCCATATTCCCTTAAACCATCTAGAAAAAGGAAGCGAAAATTTCTTAGGGCAGGTCCTTCCGTCTTTTTCAACACCTAAAAAAGTACCTAGGTATACAGTGGGAGCCCAATAAATAGTTCTGGAATAGTACACTGTCAATAATTATTTATTGAGTGCCTATTTTGTGACAGGCACTATCCGAGGTACTAGAAATAAAACAATGAGTAAAAAGATAAACATTTGTGTTCTCATGAAGTTTACCTTCTAGTAGGAGGAATAGGTATTCAATAAATAAAAAACATAGCAGATCGTAAGTGCTTGGGGGGCGGAAAGGAAGGTAGGGAGATTTTATTTATTTATATTTAAAGATATTATTTATTTATGAGAGAGAGCGAGCACGCACAAGCGGTGGGAAGAGGCAGAGGGAGAAGCAGACTCCCCGCTGAGCAGGGAGCCCGATGCGGGGCTCGATCGCAGGACGCTGGGATCATGACCTGAGCCAAAGGCAGACCCTTAACCGACTGAGCCACCCAGGCACCCCAGGTAGGGAGATTTTAAACAGGAAGGTGGCGATTTTAAATAGGATGGTTTGCTGACAAAGTGACATTTGAGCAAAGACTTTAAGGGGGAGGTGGGAGTGAGAAATATGGAGATCTGCAGCGGGGAGCCTTCCAGGTAGAGGCAACAGCATGTACAAAGGACCAAAAATGAAGCACCTCTGGTATATTCAAGGAAAGCAAGGCTGGTGGGACTGGAATGGAATGAGGGGGACGGTGGGAGGAAGTGGCCAGAGGGGTATTACTGGTCCAGACCTCAGAGGACTTTGTACTCCCTGGCAAGCACTTTGTATTTTACTCTGAGCAAGAAGGGATGTCAATGGAAGGTTTTGAGTGGAAGGGGTACATAAACTCATAAGGTAGTTGGGGTATGACTGTAAACTCTGGCAGTATCAAGGGCAGAAGCAGGGGCATCAGAAGGTTACTCCCAATCATCTAGGCTGGAGATGGTGGTGGCTTGGACTAAAGAGGTAGCATGCTGTAAGAGGTGAGGAGTGATCAGATTCTGGGTGTGTGTTGACTGAATGGTACTTATTTAAAAAAGCGTATTGCTCAAGTTTAACTTCCTTAAGTAAGGTTGAGATAGAAGAGACCTAGGTCTTACTCCTGGCTCTAGATCCCAATTTTTCCACCCACCAAACAGGGAAAAGTTCTAGTTATCATGAGGATAAGAAGAAGAGTGACCAAAGTCAAAGTTCTTGACAAGGTTCTCTTGCCCAGTATAAAGCACATAGCGTACCCTCCCCCTCCCCTTCCCCATGCCAATTTGTTTCCAGCATACTCACTGTGCACTATTTGGGAAATGTCCAGACTCTCCTCGACAAAAGAAGGTGGGGGGGAGAACCTGGCAAACTGGAGAGAAATGTTTCAGTGGCTGCTAGTTTCTTTCTTTCTTCCAGAGCTTTGTTTACCAGTGGCTGGAACAACACTGAAAAGAAGGTATACAACATTCCTGGCATTTCCCCTGACATGATGAAGCTAATTATTGAATATGCATACACCCGGACCGTCCCTATCACACCTGACAATGTGGAGAAGCTGCTGGCTGCCGCAGACCAATTCAACATCATGGGTATTGTCAGGGGTTGCTGTGAGTTCCTCAAGTCGGAGCTGTGTTTGGATAACTGTATCGGCATCTGCAAGTTCACGGACTACTACTACTGTCCCGAGCTGAGGCAGAAGGCCTACATGTTCATACTGCACAACTTTGAGGAGATGGTGAAAGTCTCAGCCGAGTTTTTAGAGCTCTCAGTCACTGAACTGAAGGATATCATTGAGAAAGATGAGCTCAACGTCAAACAAGAAGATGCTGTATTTGAGGCCATTTTAAAATGGATTTCTCATGACCCCCAAAATAGGAAGCAGCATATTTCAGTTTTGCTTCCCAAGGTCAAGTTTAGTTATTTTTTGTGGGATGCTTAATTGCTCACGTTTGGTTCATTTACCTCGGAGGAACTGTGTGAAGAGCCATATTCAGATGTTTGGCAGCTTCTGGGGCTGTATTTACATACACTTATATAGAAGGCATCTCCTAATCTTTGGAATTTTGCAGTTTTTCTTTCTTGACATTGCTAGTTCCTTCTACCCCACTTACATTCTTTGACCAAAATTCTCCCTAGCAGCGGGGGAAGGAGATGGCAAGGCCTTCAAAAGAATTTTAAAGGGCCCTCCTTTCAACCATATTTATTCTGTGAGTTTCCCCAAATCCCAGGTAGAAGTGGGATAGAACACCAAACAGTACTATACATGATTACAGCCATTTGGCACTAATCTGTGTTATTTTATACAGAGAAACATAGATGTTCAATGACTGAACAATCACCCCAGCCTTCTCTGGTCTAACAGTACTGCTCAGTGGCCAAGGAACAGGCTAGCTCTGTGATCATTTGAGGTGCCATCTAGTTCATTCTCAGCATCCAAATGTATACCACCTCCGCAAAACAAGTATTTAAACTGTGAGCTGTAAATTTCAAACACAAAATATGATACTGCTGCCATTCAAAGTCAGACTGTAAATGGGGACTTGTGGATAGGGGTTTTCCAGGTACCCTCACCTCATCTGACTTTCTGTATTTCTTTCTTAGGTTCGCCTGGCCCTAATGCATGCTGAGTACTTCATGAACAATGTGAAGATGAACGACTATGTCAAAGACAGTGAGGAATGCAAGCCAGTCATCATCAATGCCCTAAAGGCCATGTATGACCTCAACATGAATGGACCCTCTAATTCTGACTTTACCAACCCACTCACCAGGCCCCGTCTGCCCTATGCCATCCTATTTGCAATTGGTGGCTGGAGCGGTGGGAGCCCCACCAATGCCATTGAGGCATACGATGCTCGGGCAGACAGATGGGTGAATGTCACTTGTGAGGAAGAGAGTCCCCGTGCCTACCACGGGGCGGCCTACTTGAAAGGCTACATTTATATCATTGGGGGGTTCGATAGTGTAGACTATTTCAATAGCGTTAAGCGTTTTGACCCAGTCAAGAAAACATGGCATCAGGTGGCCCCGATGCACTCCCGACGTTGCTATGTCAGCGTGACAGTCCTCAGCAATTTTATATACGCCATGGGAGGATTTGATGGCTATGTGCGTCTCAACACTGCTGAACGATACGAGCCGGAGACCAACCAGTGGACACTCATTGCCCCTATGCACGAGCAGAGGAGCGACGCGAGTGCCACAACACTGTACGGGAAGGTAGGAATGGGGAGGGGGGAGAACATGCCCAGAAGTAATGCTCTTCTTTGTTTTCTGGAGGGCGGATGGAAAATAGAAGAGGCAGTCCTCACTTTGCAAGACTAACTCCACCCTCAAATGACAAAGTGGCCCTTTTTAACTGTCCTTTAAAATTTTACTCATTAAAAAGCGATGTACGCACACACGGGAAAAAAGAAACTGGACAGACTGGTATCAGAAGGGTCCCCTCGTCACCACCATATACACACCCGTTCTTTCTACTCCCCAGAGGGAATGATTTCGATAACCTTGAGCCTCTCTTCACACAGGTCTACATATGTGGTGGTTTTAACGGAAATGAGTGTCTGTTTACAGCAGAAGTGTACAACACTGAGAGTAATCAGTGGACAGTCATAGCACCCATGAGAAGCAGGAGGAGTGGAATAGGCGTAATTGCTTATGGAGAACATGTATATGCGGTGAGTTTACCTTGTACCCCACAAAAACGATAACCCTCGATTTTTTGTTCGCAAATAGGTTTACACTATTATTGGTAAGCATTTGAAAAGCATTTTTTTCCCCCATGGAAAAAAGTGGAAAGAGGGAGGTATGAAATCACTGGTTCCCCCACCCCACCCCCAAAGGCAACCTCCTTCCTCCGTGAACAGAAGCCATGGCTAACAGTCAACCATGTTTCCCTTGCTGTCCATAGGTGGGTGGCTTTGATGGAGCAAATCGACTTAGGAGTGCAGAAGCCTACAGCCCAGTGGCTAATACTTGGCGCACAATCCCCACTATGTTTAATCCTCGCAGCAATTTTGGCATCGAGGTGGTAGATGACCTCTTGTTTGTGGTGGGCGGCTTTAATGGCTTCACTACCACCTTTAATGTGGAGTGCTATGACGAAAAGACGGACGAGTGGTATGACGCCCATGACATGAGCATCTACCGCAGCGCTCTGAGCTGCTGTGTGGTACCAGGGCTGGCCAACGTCGGGGAATATGCAGCTAGACGGGACAACTTCACAGGATTAGCACTGCGAGATGAAGTAAAGTACTCCGCTTCGACAAGTACCCTACCTGTATGAGCCTCTTCATTTAGCTAATAAAGAGTCTAAGCAATAAGAATTACTTCTTTTTTTAAATAAATGCAGTGTTTAAACTTTTAAGAGTACTGGAAAATGTTCAACTTAAGGGAGTCAAGGGTTGGATGAATGAGGGAGTAAGAGGGAAGGAAGAAAGCATTTATACCAACAGCGGATCATTAATAAAGAAAAATCACACAGTACAAACCAGCTCTAAAGAAATATGTTTATTTAAAACTTACACTGAGACAATTAATAGCTTCAACACAGAACAAGATAGCTTTAGGAACATAAAACAAGCTATTTTACAATGTAATGTCTCAAAGCATCCTAAATTCTACATCTCCTCTGACTTAAAGGGAGAGAGCCAAGATTATACTTTTAGTAGAGTAGGGGCTTGGATACTGATAGCCCCCAAAACTCACCGTGTATCAACTTGAACTAAATACATATTTTACAAATAACTCAATGAGCCCTAGCACATGGATCTAATCTTCAAACATCTAACAAGCTTAATTTTTCACAAGTGCATTATGCAGGAGGATTAAGTTAACAAGTGCTCTACTGTATGTGCTTCAATGTCAGACATTTGTAATGATGCTCAGAGAGTAAGACAAAAGCCCTACCAAGGTAATCAGTAAAGCCGTTATTTGGCTATCTAATTAAATTCCTTGAAGCAAGATGACTACTATATTATGTTATTGTTACTGTATTACTCACTCAAATATGAGCTGTTTTGTTTTCAAGGACCAGAACACGTTATGTAGGCATTATAACAGCAACAAAAATGGACTATTCTCAAGAAAGCAACAAACTGGAGTGATGGACCGTGCCAAAATGTTTGACAATTAAAGGAGAGACTGAACTGTTTCTCAAATATTCTACAGTTAAATGGCAACCTATAAAAATACCCTATTTTTCTAGTGGAGGCAAGGAACTTGCTTCACAATTCTGTGAACTTTCAAAAGACAGGAAGTGTGGCCAACATACCCTTTTTATTTAAGCTTAATTTGACGAAAGTACAAAAAAAGTCCCTTTAGTTATGCTTGATTAGGCCAAATAACTAAAATATACAATTTAGCTTACTTGTCTACCTACAGAATAGTGTCTTATTAGGATTATGAAGCAGAGAATGAAGTATTTAAACATACCACATGCTACACTACTCAAGAAACAAAGAAAAAAGTGTGTCCTAGAAACTGCCTTACCAGCGACCTGAAGAGTTTAAAAAACAAAAGCACACACATCTTTGATAAACACTACTTTCCAGCTTCAAACCTCTGTTTTTATATATATTAGTGTTTTAAAAGTTTTTGGTCCCAACAATACTATATAAAACTAAGTCATCAAAACAAAACTGGTATCAATGAATTGCGATTTTTTTCTTAGTAAAATATCTTTGAATTGGCACAGCAAAAGCAAAGTTGGATATCAAGATATACAAGACTAATCATGCAAACAACTGCAAGTGAAATGTATTACTTAAACACTACGCTCATGACTGACATTCTCAATAGATACCACAGGTTTGTTTTTTTAAAGCCATGGTGGGGTAGGTGTAGTTAAAGGATATCCATTCTAAGATATAAATAGCACTCAAAATTATGTATAGGTATTATTTTTTTGGTATAATCAATTCCTCTCTTTTCCTTCCACAAAACAAAAACAAAAGCAACAACAAGAACAAAAGGTCTGCTTGAATACATGTTAAGCTGTCCTTTTTAAAGCTATATTTTTAACTGCTGAAATTACCAAACACACTCTAAGTTTTCATCAAAACGGAAATTTCTTTCCCAAAGAGCCATTTTAGGCTGGTTATCATAGTCAGAACCTTTCTAAATACTCTGGAAATTATTTCCAGTTTAGATTTCAGAATGTCAGCCTTGAACAGATTTAAGCAACTCTGGTTTCCTTCCTTATTGACAAGTTAGTTAGGATATTTCAGAAACAAGTTATTGATGTGAAGTCACACATGTGAATTCAAATATGAAAATCAGAAATTCAGTCGTCAGGAAAACCTGCACACATCATGCAAGGAAGGACTTACCCCTTCTTTTCAGCCATGGCCTAGGTTGCCTGCTGAGTTAAAAAAACAACAGTTTCAATCAAGTTTTCAAAACCAGATTATACCTAAATCTTAGAGGAGTTAGAACTTGTCACATACATGAAAAAAGACCACCCCCCAAATAACTTGGTAACAATGGTCTCAGAAGACAACTCTAAGATCCAAAAACCTTACATCACACCTCCTAGAGAGAAACTGCCACTGCAGTGAGCTACTAAATTATTTCACCACCACCAAGAAAAGGAAGTTTGCTACCTAGCATAGTCTATCAGAGAGGAGAACATCACTCAATGAGCTTTTCTGTCTCACTTGCTCAGACCTCAACTCAGAATTAGCACTTCTCAGAAACGGCTTTTTTCAAAATAGCTACAAATGGAAATTGATAAAACGGTAGAGATGGCACAGGATAATATATCCTCATACAGAAACAAGACTTGAAGTTTACTACCCCCACCCCAATCTAAATGAAATGGTTTTAAAGCAGATTTCCAACATATTTATTGACAAACTTTGTCCTAGGCAGGGATACTAATTTAGAAATTTCAGGGAAGTTCTTGGTATAGAGTCCAAGGGCTAAATGTTAATAGTCTTGCAGCAAATTGAGAGCCAAAATTTCTAGTTGTGCTTTTTTTCTTTTGATGTTTGATACAATAAGGAGGTTAATTATAATGGACTAGGGAAAAAAATAATCACTGCACTTGGAATTCAACTTCTAGAACAGTATTGTGGAATGTCTAAGGAGATAGACATTCCGAAAGAAACAAGAAACATAATGGACCCCTTTTGCAAGCCATTAGGGCAGGAGTCCTCTAAGCTGAGCGCTAACTTGTATAAAGCTTGGGAGTGTGTTAGAGAATCAGAAGAATGCATAAAATAAATAAAAGGTAACTAAAGCAATACATCTTTAAGAGCCATAATTGTGCACCTAAATTTGGTATTCTAGGCTCAAAGTTCCAATAAAAGTCTAGGGCAACTGGATAAAATAGTACAACAACCAGGGCTGAGAAACAATAAGGCTTCCCTTTAGCAACATTTCTCTAAATTGTCACTTCATTCCCATTTTGGAAAAAGTTTCTTTTAGAAAGGAATGAGGATTCTATACAATATACATTAGAGCAAAATTTAAAAATGAAGGCATTGAGTGTCGATTGTCATAGGCATTATTTACACACTCAGTAATTTATCCTCAAGTAAGCCCGCAACTCCTGAAAAGTGTTTAAATGTTTTAATGCCTTTGATTCCTAAGTCTACACTAACAATACTTTTCTCCTTAGAGAAACAAATTTCGCATATATACCTTCCTCTGTATTAAATCAATCAGCCAAAGATCAATACTCTTGTCAACCACCATCATCTCAGAACGATGGCTCCAAGTCTCTAACAGTTGCTGAGGAAATGAAAAATATTCAAAAACCAATGAGCCAATCACAAATTTTTCATCAGTCATCTCTTCTAGAGAGAAGCAAAACAGAATTTCTAGATAAGCACATACAACAAAATATCAATGCAAATATTCTGAAATCATCTCGCTGAAATATTGTGCTTTTCCCTTCAAATCTCAGTCTCACTATTGCACATACCTCCTGCAGATGAGGGCTCAATGCATAAATTCTGCCCTTTTCAAAACCAGCCATTCAGGAGAAAATCAAAAGGAATATCAAAGTAAACATGCAAATAAACTGTTGCTTAAAGCATGTTCAAAACAGTAAGTCCCTAAGACAAAGGAGTTTTAACTTGTTGGCGGAAAAACAGCCAAGTGACTATCCCTGGGTTTTCCACTTATCATTAATAAGATCTCATTTAGCTAGCACATCCACACAAACCAAAGACAGAAAAAGACTACAAACCAACAAAAGTTACCACATAGTAAATCGAGTTTCCCATTCTTCAGTTTTTTAACTCTATTTCCTTTATATGGGACAATAATCAGTTTAGGTAGAAAATAAGTTATCGACATACTTTTTCAAGTAACAGTCTGGGTATCCTCAGCCTCACAAAACAGGTACAACTGTTTGAAGCCGCACCTATCAGAGAACCTAGCATTCAATCTGAGAGCTCGGCACTCGTCGCATGTTTAGGGCGTGCCGATGTATTTCTTGCATCTGTCTGATCCGGTCCTTCTGCCACATTAAGTTTTGAGGCATAGGGTATCTCTGGGTGCCATGCAAGTACCGGTATGGGATTCTCACATGGCAAGCAGTGGCTCTACAACGCGGCTGTGGCATGGGGGGAAGAAGCATCCACCGCTTTCTTTCAGCACAATACCGGTAGGCTTCTTTCCGATACTGTTTGTCAATATCGTCACTGTTTTTCCAGCCTCCAATAATGAAAACATCATCTTTGTAATAGCAGATGGCTGCTCCTTCGATGCTTAGGACTTCTGGAGGTAAGCTTTCAAGGATCTCGTCGGAAACTTGGCTGGCAATTTTTCTTACTGCCTCTTCATTTTCTAAAGAATAACTCTTAGGACAGCATGATGCTGTCTGATAAAAGTTTGAATTGACCACGGACATTTGGAAAAAGCAGTAATTGTCAATAAGTGGCAAAGATTCCACATCTTGCCACTGTCGAGTCTCTGTATCATAGCAAGTAATTACAGCCTTTAATCCGTCTTCTGTGTCCCGGTCCACAGGAGTGCGGGCAGCGATGTACACAAACCGGTCTTCAATGGCTAGCGCTTTGACATCTCGAAGAATCTTTGGTGCCGATTCCAAGTTGTGCCATTTATCAAGCTCAGGATTATAAACAGTCACATCTTTGAAGCCAGGACTAAAGTTGCCATGTCCTCCAATGCTGTAGAGCTTCCCTTTGACTTCTGTTAACCCAAAAGAATGCTTCCTTGTCATCAGACTACAAACATGTTCCCACGTATTCAAATTTGGGTTGTATCTTTCCACAGTTTTAGCAAACCCTGGTTCCATTGATCCAGCAACATACACATAGGACTCTGTTACTGCAACAGCATGTCCATCAAGGTGATTATGAATATGGGGCAGGTTTACCCATCTGTCCTCATCGACAAAATAGCCCACACATTCACTTAAATAATCCCCTCCTTCTGACACGCCTCCAATAACCATGATCACGTCCATGTTTTGCCCATAGCGAGGTAATAAGGAGACATGAGAGGCGGGATGCTGGAAGGTGCCAGACTGTATGTTTTCAGCCCTCAGAGCATGCCTCTCTACTGCATCGGCCACTAACTTGACGCAAACTTCATTATTGGCCACCAGCCTCTCTGGTTTGACATGCCGAGTAAGGTAAGTAGGTTTCATCTGGGACAATCTGAGCAATTTAAAAAGTTCTTCAAAGTATCTTTCTCTCTCTTCAGCATTTCTCTGAACCCATTTCAAAACTGTTTCAAAGAGAACCTCTTCGGAATCCACTGTAATTTCCAAGTCCGACAGCCAGTCTCGAATGAGATGGAAAGGTAAGGTATAAAATTCTTCATCCTGAATTACTTTGTGGAAATTTCTCCGTATCATATCGGCAGCTTTCAGAGCAAGCTGGCTCAAGGTATACATGTGAGCTAAGCTATGAATGGCTACACAATTAGAGAGATGAAGTTTTTTCTTGAGAAATTCTCCACAAAATTCTTTTAAACGAATTAAAAGGAACCTAAAATCAAGAAAAAGAAATTTTCAAATGTGCATATTTTTTGTGGTTGCATTTTAAGAACATCTGAATTATACAAATTAAAATAGTAAGCTTCATCTCACTTTATGCCTAACATCTGCAAAAAGGCAAATCCCCCCAAATTAAAAAGGGTTATGCTGAAAAGTATATTTAAAAGCATAAAGTCATCTTTATATAGGATATATGTTAAATTATTTGTATTATATAGTTTATATATAATTATACATGATACATACAACACACACACAATGGAGAGTTCTTCATAATGTAAGGTTTCCTGAAATATATCCTTTAATAAAGCACAATAGTCAAAGACAAATACATATGATTTCACTCATTATGTGGAATTTAAGAAACAAAACAAACATGCAAAGGAAAAAAAGAGAGACAAACCAAGAAATAGACTCAACTATAGAGAACTGATGGCTACTACCAAAGGGGAGGGGGGCGGATGCAATGGGTGATGGGGATTGGGGAGTGCACTTATCATGGTGAGCACTGGGTAATGTGTAGAATTGTTGAATTACTATGTAGTACACTTGAAACTCATATAAAACTGTATGTTAACTATACTGGAATTAGGGACGCCTGGGTGGCTCAGTCGGTTAAGCGTCTGCCTTCGGCTCAGGTCATGATCCCAGAGTCCTGGGATCGAGTCCCACATCGGGCTCCTTGCTAAGCGGGGAGCCTGCTTCTCCCTCTGCCTGCCTCTGTCTCTCTCTCTCTGATAAATAAATAAATAAAATCTTTAAAAAAAAAAAAAACTATACTGGAATTAAAATAAAAAACTTAAAATAAAAAAATAAAATACAACAGTCCCACACTTTATTTTTATTGGCAAAGGCAAACCCCAATCCCAATTTGTCTATGCCATTCCTGTCCTAATCCTCTGTCAACCACCAGCCTTTTCTTCAGTGAGGCAGGATCTCAGGGAAGAGACTTTATTAAGCCTTTACTAGATGCTACAGGAACTGTGGGGCTCCTGGGAGGCTATGTCTGCTCAAATATCAGAAGCAACAGTAGTGGAAGCCTCGTGTCAGAGGTTTTAATCGCCTCTTTACCAGTTTTCTCCTTGGGCGGCAGATGATGGGGGCAGGAGATGGTGCCGGGCGGGTGCAGCCTGAGTTGGGTTCTCATTAAAGCAGGGGTGGCAAGGCAAACTCAAACAACAACAAACATATGAAAGTGGTTTGGCATGTAGCTGACTAGAAGTTGTCTGCCCACCTAAACGCACTGACTCATATTCCCTTGGATAGGGTGTTTGGAAACACTGCTCTATGAAAACAACAGCTATCATACACTAGGCATTTGCCATGTGCTGGGCAGTGTGCTGGACACTTCCTATTATTTCCTTGTAAGTACCCTTGAAGGAAGGTATGATCAACAGACAGTATATGGGTGCTAGGGAGAGGAACGTTGCCTCAGCGCTGATGGGTAAGATTAGATGTGATGGTTGCAAGGCACTTAGAACAGTGTCTAACACCAGGCAGCTGCTAAAGCAGCTGACAGATGGAGAGAAGTTCAAAGTTCTAAGTAAATTGCCAGGGGTGTTCTCTCCTCACCTCCAATTCCCCTATAAAGCAGGGGAAATCTGAGAAGTAAGCCCACACGACAGACACAAACAGAGCTTGAGTGATTGCAATGACCCTCCTCTACCCGTTTTCATTCTACAAACATCCCTCTCTCAGATCTATACCTGCCCCCATCCTTTCTCACCCTCTAATGAATGACCCAACCTTGGGCTTTGAGAAACCAGAAATCAGGCAGAACCTCCATCTCCCCATCGCCCAATCTGCTTGCAGCTCTATCCTATACTCTGCCTTCCCTGTCCAACTTTTCCATTTTAAATACGGATTCTATCCTCTTCTTGGTTTTAAGGACTTTGCTCCTTAAATTATTCCCCTACTTCTGTAACATCAATTTCTCCTCTTCCACTGATTCTTTTTTTTTTTTTCCAAGCACACAAACAAGCTCATCTCCTATCTTAGAGGGGGGGAAAAGACCTCCCCTGACTCTTCCCCAAACATTTCCATGTGTATCATTATTCTGACCCTCTTTAAAGGAAAAATTTAAATGGCTCTTGTTAATGCCATCAAGGACCTCTATTACTACCAAATCCAACAATCTATTATGGTTGACAGAGTTGACGTGATTAGGCTACTTCCTCCTCTACACTCTCTCCTCTACACCCTGTGAGACCCACCTCCTCTGCTGGTTCCTTAACATTTTGGAACCCCAGGGCTCAATCCTGCCCCTTCTCTGTCTACACTCTCTTCCTAAGTAATTTCATCCAGTCCCATGGCTTTAATTACCCATCTATATGCCATATTCCTCCCAATCTCTAGCTTCCAATGTTCTTATATCCAACTGCCTCCTCAGACATCCCCTGGACCAAAACCAAACTCCTGATCTTCCTCCCAAACTTGCTTTCCTACACTCTTCCACGTCTTAATAAATAAATAACCCTATCTTTCCAATTGCTCGGATCAAAAAACTAGCAGTCTTTTCCCTTATACTCTACATCAAACCCACCAGCAAATTCGTCTCCTCTACCTTCAAAACATATCTAGAATTGAAGCGCTAATCACCTTTACTTTTCTTCAATCCGAGCCTCTACCACCATTCCAACCTCCTAATCTCTCTGCTCTGCCCAGGAGCCCCATCCTGTTTTCAACACAGCAGATTCTTCAAATCAGACTGCATTGTTCCTCTGCCCCTAAAGAAAATTCTTCAAATCAGATTGCATCATTCCTTTGCCCCCAAAACCTTCCCATCTCATAGTCATTCAGAGCAAGAGCTCCTTCCACAGGCTGCAAGGCCTTTGGAACCCAAGCTCCATGGAAACTAGATCCATCCCCATCACCACCCTGAGGGGCCTCTCCCACCCTCTCCACCTGCATCCATTTGATCCAGCCACACTGGCCTCCTGCTATTCTCTAACATCCAGATAAGCTCCACCTCACGGCCTTTCCGCCTGTGTTCCCTACCTGAAATACTCTTTACCTCATCTCCTTAGGTTCTTTGCAAAATGTCTTCTTCATTAGGTATTCTCTATGTACCCAATTAAAAAACACAGTTCCTCTCCACCAGCACTTTCTATATGCCCTTACCATGCTCTGTTTTTCATCAAAGCTATAACAATCATCTGACATGCTATCTATTTTACTTATTTATTGTCCATCTACCAAGGTAAGTGCAACAAGGAAAGGGACTTTTTTTAAAATTTTTATTTATTTGACAGAGACAGAGTGAGAGCACAAGCAGGGGGAGCAGCAGGCAGAGGGAGAAGCAGGCCTCCTGCTGAGCAGGGAGCCCGATGTGGGACTCCATCCCAGGACCCCGGGATCATGACCTGAGCCAAAGGCAGACGCTTAACCGACTGAGCCACCCAGGCATCCCAGGAAAGGGACTTTTATCTGTTTTGTTCACCACTGAATTCCCAGCACCTGAGAACCCGGTGTCTGATCTGATGCATCACAGGCACTCAATAGGTATTTGTTAAAATAATGTACCTGTAACCCAATACTGCCAAAACGGACTCCTCCACATCTCTAAAAATGGCATTCGCCTGCCTCCTAACCATTCTCTGAAGCATCCATTCCTACCCCTTACAGTCCATTTCTCACAGTAGCAGAATCGGCTTTTAAAATAATTAAATCAGGAGATTTCTTCACCCAGCTTGCCATCGCACAGTAAAAAAAAAAATCAAACTCCTTATTTCAATGCATTTCACACACCCTTCACCTACGAGATCCAGCTCCACTGGATATTTCTTTTAGTTCTTTAAGCCAAACTGGGTCCTGCCAGAAGGCCTTTGCGCTATCTGCCTGGAGTGTTCATTTCCCATCTTTGCACGGTAGGTCTTTCTTGCCGTTTGGAGGTCGGTTTAAATGTCACCTCCTCAGAAAGGTCTTTCCTCTACCCAATCACTATCCTTTCATCCTTTTTAAATGTCAACACAGCACTGATTACATGCAGACTTTCTTTTTCATTGCCTTTGTCCCTCCACCTGGAATCTGAGCTCCCTAAGAGCAGCGCGCCCTCGTCAGACCGCTCGGCTGCATCCTCAGTACCCAGAGCAGTGGCTGCCCCACAGCACACAGCAGGCGCTCAATAAGTATCAAACAAATGCATTTCCTCGGGGTCGCACTGCCTCCCTGCCTCTCCCGCCCCCTCCCTGGATGAGGCCCTCGGTGGGCGAGCATCTCCACCGCCCCGCGCGCGGCCCTCCGCATCCCGCCTACCTGTCGGCCAACTCCAGCACCTCGTGCACGCTGCCCGTGCTGACACGGATGCGCCCGGTGTACATGTATTCGATAACGGCTTCCACCGTGTCGGGCTCGGGCCCAGGCTCGGAGCTCCACTTGCGCATCTCCACTCGGCCCGAGCGGGACTCCGAGAACTGGCCCGAGAGCAGGGGCGTGAAGTACTCGGTGGCGGCGGCCAGCACCGAGCGGTGGGCCCGGAACTCGCGGCCTCCCGCGCCGCCGAAGCACAAGGTAATGTCGCAGAAGAGGCCCTGGCGCCGCTGCTCGTTCTGCCTCCAAGACAGCTCCGAGCAGTGAGAGCTGCACTCGAAATCCTCGGCCTCCGGGCCCGGATCGCCCCCGCTCGCCTCCATTGCAGATATGCCGGGCCCAGATCCGAAGTCCACCGTGCCGCTGCCTCGGACTTCGGCGGCCAGCCCTGCCGAGCCGGCGGCGGCGGTCTCCATGCTCTCCATCTCCAGCACCTGAAGAGATGCGGCCGCTGCTGCCGCCGCAGCCGCAGCCACCGCCGCCGCCGCCATCTTGACGCCGCCGCGCCCGACCTCCGCAGTCTCGGAACGATCCAGCCGTTCTGGTGCGACAGAGGGATTCTGGGAATAAATAGTGGGCGCGGGGCGGAGCCGGGCGCCGCTAGTGTGCGCACGCGCGCACGCGCCCACCCGGAGCCTTCCTACCTTGGAGAGGGCTCAACGGTGCTGCTTCCCCAGACATCTCACCCAAGTCTCGGTGGGAGAATGGCTTGTCTCCTTCCCCTTAGAGTGGCATGTTCTTCGTGGTCATTTTGTACAACAAAAGCCAACCTGGACCATAACCCATTGTTAGTGTCTCGGGTGGCAACAGTGGACTTTTACCTAAAATTTAAAATGAATTTGGAGTAAACATTACAAAAGAGAAAAGGTTTGAGACCGAGACACAGCTAAGCAGATGAGGGTGAGAAAGTTACTTAGTATTTATCTTCTAAAAATAGGATAGTATCTATGTTGGGAGATCGCTGTGAGGATTAAACGAGATTCTTGTGTTTTACGTAGTGCTTGATCCGCAGTTATTGTTCCATACATACTTAAGAAAAAGATCAATAGAAGCCGCTTTGGGGTTTAAGCAAAGGAGTGGCTTAGATTCGTGTTTTAAAATAGCACTGGTGGCTCTAGAAATAATGAAAAAATGGCACTAGGGGTACTAGTTAGACCAGATATGGATGGATCGGAGGGATAATGAAAGGATAAATCCATAGGAGGTGGCAACCAGAGAGAAGTGGAAGAAAGGATGACTCTCTTTGGCTTTAGTATCTGGGTAGAGCTTTGGTTCTTCACTGAGAAAGGGACAGGTACAGATTTAGGGGAGAAGATAGGGTTTTTGTTTTGTTTTTAAATTGTATTTGTTCACCATTTTTTTAAGTTTATTTTTTAGTAATCTCTACAACCAAGATGGGGGCTCAAACTCATAACCCTGAGATTGAGTCACATGCTCCACTAACTGAACCGGCCAGGGCCCCCTATAGGGGGTTTTCTTTGAAGCTAGTGTTTTGATTAGTTCTTTGTGTGTGTGTGTATGAAGAGGCGGATGAACATTTAAAAAAATGACATGTAGTAAAACCATAAGTATATATACATTCAAAGGAATACAGAGGAAAGGATATGGAGGACATGAGACAGTAGTGTGTCTTCATTATTACTGGATAGTTTATTGAAACCAAACTGATAATACAGAGAAGAGACTGAGGTGGCAGCTGCCAGAATCTTGGTGGATTACAGATGCAAACTGGCTGGAGACGAGTCCTTGAACCCACACTTCAGTAACAGACTGATAAATCAGTTGCATAAATAGAGAACGAAAGACACAAAACATTTCACAGCTTTTCGCTTTGCATTTGTTTTAAACATATGTATGTTACAACTTTACATTTTAAATTACCATGCCACGGATTTTGTGACAATGGCTAAGGATGCAATGGTCCCATCCCCCTGATATAAGCAGAGTTTGGTCTGCAACGTACAACATTTCAGTGAGATACCAAACAAACCCTTAACACATAACACATAAAAAGATCTTTAAAAATCAGATTAACACAATGCTCTTCGGGTTATACAAGGAAGAACGGGAAAGTGGAAAAATAAGACATTAGGGATGCTTTTAATTGATAGTGTCTTGAGATCTTAAAAGTTGCATTCCCTTACTCCAAGGGGAAAAAAAATTTTTAACTAATGGAAAAAAGAAAGCAACATCGTAACACACTACAATGAGGAAAAACACTATCCTTACAGTGCTTAGATGCTTCCATATAATAAATACAGCAGGCAGCAGAGCAAATGTCACAATTTATTGGCTTGGTTTTTATTTCTATGCTTATAAAAAAAATACTAAGCTTCTTTGTGTGTACTGAACAGTGTTAGCCTGTGGCTGTCTTCGGTGCCTGTACGCCAGTGGCTGTTTACATTCCAGGCCCATCCTAGAGCAAGCTCCCGTACCAGCTGTCTGCACGCTGTTTGTTTCCCAGGGGAGTTGTTCTTGTCTTCACTTTACTGCAACAGGGTTCCTGGCTCATTACATGGTCATGTGTTCCGGAAGAACATACGAAATATCATCCCACGGGTGACGATACAGGCCCTGCTTCAGCCTCTTCTGATCAAGATAGTGTCCTGAAATATGGAGCAAAGGCATCTTTTTATTAAGAGTTGGTGAATCTGTTAAAAGTTTGGTGAGGGGGGGGATAAGGATGAGAACTCTTTCTAATACAAAAAAAATGAAGTAAATCCAGATTCACTGCATAAGTGTATGGCAGCCTGGGTAAAAAGCAACTGTTAGATTTCATTCTGTTTTCCTGGGCTAGCAGTCAGTAATTTCCAAGAACAAAGGAACAAAGATAAAGGGGGACGTTAAAGTAAGAAAGGAAGAATAGGAACAATGATGAAGATAACGTGACATGTAGAAACCTGCCACATAGGTAAGTGTTAGAGCTGAACCATCGAGGGAAACCAAACCAAATTGAATTTTTTTTTTTTTAAGATTTTATTTATTTGAGCGAGCGAGTGAGGGAGAGAGAGAGTGCAAGCAAGAGTGGTGGGGAGGGGCAGAGGGAGAGGGAGAAGCAGGCTCCCCGCTGAGCAGGGGGCCTGATGCGGCTTGATCCCAGGACCCTGGGATCATGACCTGAGCCGAAGGCAGACACTTAACCCACTGAGCCACCCAGGCGACCCCAAACTGAATTCTTAATAACAGCAACAACTACCAACTCACCAATGAAGCCCATACTCCTTCCCAACACAAAGATGCCATTGAGGGCTCCAATGTCAATATATTCATCAGCTTCCTCCCTGCAACACATAATCAACCTGTGGTTTTAAAACGGCTCACGTGACCGCCCTCCTCCCCACAGACAGTACAATTTCTGCCCTAGAATGAGAAGCTAGCTCTCTTTGGTTTCAAAATAGAGAAAGGGTGCTCTGGGTAGTTAAGAGTAGAGATAATTTTTGTTTTCTTTATACCTCTCCATATTTTCTAAATCCTCTGTAATGAGCATGCACTGCTTTTAGAACTGGAAGGAAACAACAAGCATCAATAACTGTTAAGAAGAAAACGGCCGCAGAGCTCACCGGGTAAAGGACCCACAGTTTCTAAGCATGTCTACAAATGCAACTCCGATGAAACCGTCTACATTCAGGATAAGATTTGGTTTCTGGGAAGGCAAAAAATTAAAAGCACTTATTATTTCTCATTTTTTCTTTGTAATTTTCCACAATTACTACTACTAACCTAACTACAAATTCTGACCACAATTTACAAACCTCCCACCAAAACATCCCAGCTGGTTAGGAAAGGAAGTGTCAGTTCAATTGCCAATGTCTAGCAGAGGACCCAGCACCTAATTGACACATGGTATGTATCTGTTGAACTTAGCAGTGCAACAGAAATAGAATTTCCCAGAAAACCAGGTTTGATTTTGGCTGCACAATCAAAATGTAGGCTGGCTCTTGTTTTCCCCCCAAGTAATGCACCCACAAGCTATGATTTGGGAATTAGGGACATTTTCTCTTTTACCTTCGACGTGGTAATCTTCTCGACTTCCAGTGCATAGTCAAGCAGAGGGGTGGCAGGGAAGTGCTGTTTGACGTAATCTTTGAGGATCTGCACTCGCATGTCTGGGTTGTTTATCTAGAAAGTGACCCAAAGTTACAGAGCTGTGTTATACCCTAACACAGCTATTAAGAGACATGTTTGCACTCCTGCCACAGACAGAATGCACCATATCCGGGAGGTGTGTTTCAGAGACCTGGATCCACATGTCCGATTCTGTGCAGCACAGACGATGACACTGCTGTGAGGTTTAAGGTTTCTAAAGTCTTTTATGTCACCAACAAGGAACTGAGACCCGGAGATGTTAACTGCGTGCGCCACAGGCCACGGGCCTCGGTTTAAGCAGCAGGGGGCCAGGGCTCACTTACTCTCCAACCAAAAGTCTTAGGTTCTGGCCACTAACCATGCTGCCCACTAGTTCAGCAGCCTCATCAAGCTGTAACAAAGTTCGACAGAGTTCTTCATTTCTAAACTGGCAAGCACTTATTGGTGTGGGGCAGCAGAGCACCCCTGAAATTTTAAGGAAAGCCCTGGACCTGCCATGCATGGGGCTGCACCATCTGTTAGGAGACCCACGCTAAGCAATAATGGGTCAGTGGGGCAGGGAGGTGGTTCAGGCACCAGCCAACTCCAATACTACAGTGACCTCAGCCACCGCCTATCAGCTCTCAGGCAGATAGCGCTGCTCCAGCCCACAGCACAGGGCCTCTTTCGGAGAGAATGTCACACCTGTGCTGCCACACTCAGGCTTTTGGGTTCCTCCCTTTCTGGAGTCTATACTGACCTAGCATGTCTCTTCGCTAAGGGAGGTCACTGTGGCTGCAAAGCCTGGATGGAATGTTCCTCAGAACGAACATGGTCCCTGATTCTAATGCAGTTTAAAGGCATTCTGTATTATAATGGAAAAATAGCTGCCTTATCTTTGACATCTGTCAACACAGCCAAAGCTTTGCCAGTTAAAAGTCAGGAACCTAGGTTTCCAACTAGAACAATGCTGTCTCATCACCATCCACCTGCAGATCGGTCCTTAAGGAGAGCCACAACTTACCGATTTCACTCGGTGACCAATGCCCATGATCAGCTTTCCTTCCTTCTTCATCTTGTTCACAAACTCCATGGGGATAATACCACTGTCAAAGGCTTTGCTGAACATCTTGGCAGCGGCATCCAGGGCACCCCCAAACCGGTCCCCCTGTGGAACAAGCAAGCCCATGTTGCCCTGAGCTGGAAGAGCCTCCTTCACCTTTGCAGACCAATCTGGCATGCCCCGAATTGCCCTGTGACGGGGTTTTACACTCCAAGGCCCCTTCTAGGACCCTGTGGCAGCCAAGCACATGTCGCCAAAGCCATGTGTCCCCTGCAGGTCTCACCTCCCAGGATGCCAGTACTCACAATAGTGAGCAGCCCCGAGGTGAGGCTGGAAACCAGGTCCTTCCCAGCCCGAGCACAGATGATGGTGTTGTGAGCCC